GTCTGTTGCAGAAAGCTTTGAGATATTTCCTGGTGATCACTTGCGTCTTGATTCCTCTGAACATCGTTGGGGCTTGAGGGGTTTAGGGGTGACCGCCTCCTTGCTGTGCACTCGAGTGCAAAGTGGTATGTTGTGAGAGCACAAAATTTGAAGCAAGTTTGCCCCAATATTCTTTGGCTGTTAAGATAATGTAAAAAAGCATCAAAATCAGGAATTATCTATAACCCTTAACCACACCTGTCCTTTCAAGAGCGGACTATGCTGCAAAATCCAAAGATGGATGAGAACCACTCTGATCATGAGACACCTAGAGCAGGATGTTGTCAGACTTTGGATGACTCTTACTTTTGCTTCTCCCTAATAATAAAAAATGGAATCACCTGAGCTTCAGTACTCAATTACAAAGCGAAATTCTGTTACAAAAAAAGTAAAGAAAAGTGTCCCTTTAGTAAGATGTCATTGCGGGCTATAAAGTGTGTACAGCATTGTACTGCAAAAAGTTTTTCCATGTTTTTGCTGTCTGGTTAATGCACTAATAAGTTGTGGGATCTCTTGTGCATTGTGCTTAATAAATGGTTTCACATAAGGAAAACTCTAAAGGTGCCATGAAGATGTTATTTTTAATATTTAGATTGTTCAATATTTTTAGACAGAAAACTATGTATTTTAATACTTTCCTAAATTTGTAATATGGGTGGTGATGGAGCAGTGGATAAGACACATTCCTTTGGTGTGAGATACCCAGGTTCAAATCCGCTGTTAGACACCATTGTGTCCCTAAGCAAAATACTTTACTCTAGGCATGCAACCTCTTTTATTTATTTATATGTATATATACTGTATATAATTGTCAGTCGCTTTGGATAAAAGCGTGAGATGCTTTCATTCAAATTTTGAGTCAGGGTTTGCCTTTTAAAAACCATGTCTCAAAGTTTAGGTTAGGAACTTTATTGTTCACATTGTGGAAAATTGTATTTGGCTTCACAACCATACTGTAAAGCTGATGAGGGGAAAACCCTGGAACACAATATTGCAAAAAAGTAATTAATAAATCCAGTAAAAAAATTTAATGAAAACAGAAGAAAGGCTAGATGTTTGTGAAATTCTAAGCTGTTTGCATGTCTGTTCAATGGGGCATCACTTTGCATTTTCACCTTGTGTCTCACAGTAGGATTTCAATATTTGAGACGGAAAAAGATGATTGCACAAACCTGCCGCTAGCTGGCTCCATTTTCCTCCCTCTGCTTGTCTTCTATGGGTGTTCGCTTGCAGCACAGGCCTCAGAGAGGCCATAGAGAGGAACCACAGGCCTGTTGGGAACTCAAGGTTGAGTTGAGGGTGAAGCGGGGGAGATAGGAGGGGGGTGATGTGATGAAACACTGAAACAGGAAGTCAAGCACGCAGCAGGAAGAGGCGTTCTCACACTACTTTATAGGCTAAATTTACTGACACGCAGCAGGGATGAAAACATGTTATTTCCTGTGAGCATAATATCTTAAAGGTTTATGCTTAAAGACAGTAGCTGTTTACACTGCAAAATACAATTAGCGATCAAATCTTGTCAGTGAGAGGTAATTAAAGCAACTGCCAAATTGACTTGAAATGTCTCACCTCACACTCATTAGAATATATGACGCTCAGTGGCACACCGTTGCATCACATCAGTTCACTGTTATGGGTTATTTATGTTCCGCAATTATGTTTTTACCAAAGCATCTTTTTAATGAGTGTTAAAGTTAGGGTCACGGTGCAAAATTGTAGCAGAATTGCTTGAGTACAGAACTTTACTAAAATTGAATATGATATTTTAATGCCCTTTACTCTGGCTTGGTGTGTGTGCTGCCTTTTAGTCTTTTGACCTCTGGCAGAATTCTTGAGCTGTGTTTAAATAGCAAGGTTTTGTTTGTAGCTTGCAGATATATGCAACAAACACACTAATAATGTAAAAAATTTTGCTGACTGCAGAGTGCACAAACAGTCAGGGGCAGTAAACCACCTTGATGGTACAATACAGTGGTACCAAACACAGGAGCAGAAGAAGAGTGCAAGCTGGTTTAAAGTTCCCCTCCAAAATGTGGTGTGCTTATTGTTCAGTTGGATGTTTGACCTGCACTTTGCAGAATGATGTGCAGAGTTTGACAGTAGAAAGTTTTCACATTCATCTGCTGCTAGTTTGGAAAACAAATTTCTGCTTTCATATGTGTCCCCAGAGTTCAAAAGAAGTCTGCTGGCTGCAGGGCCTTTTTCTATTGTGCCCCTGTTCTCTGAAATAATCTTCCTGCTGACATCAGGAAGTCGGACTCTGCTGAGGCCTATAAATCGGTTGAAGATACTAGAAGACTTTTGTCCCTCATCCAAGAGACTTCTTCAGTCTACAACGAGGAGCACTAACGAACCAGCATTATCAATCTTGGCAAACGATTCCACAGATGTTAAATATCTCAGTTTCCCTACCAGTCAGTCAGAACTGAAGTCGCTTGGATGAGGGACAAAAAGTCTTTTAATATCTTCAACTAAGTCCGGTTATCCCTCAGCCTCGTACCTGTTACTACTTTACATCAGGCAGATCGGTCTCAGTCTGAATTGCTCGATTAACAAGTTAGTCTTAACGAATAGTCAATGTTCATCCTGCCAACGAGAACTCAACCAACAGACACAAACTATTTGAAACTGACTTCATGTTTCTAACCCTCTGCTGCATTGGTTTCTGAAAGCTTGGCAGCTTATAGGGGACTATCTCTCCCTAACCTTCCCCTCTCATGCACTTCTGCACATCTGCCTTCCTGGTACCTTCCTGTGGTTGTTGGTGCCTTATCAAGTCCTTCATCTGGATTTTCGTCTTTCCCCTTCTCTCTGTTGTCATGCACGTTATCATGGCTCTCTCCCTCTGTGTTTGATTTTCCACTCTGTGTGAATAGTGTTGTCCTCTTCTGTGTTTGTGTGCCCTCCTGTTTCGTGGCCTGTACCAGGAAACATGATTTGAGCACAACTGGATGACTTTGGGGTTAACCCTGGGTTTTCTGTACCGCAACGTTGGTTCTCTTCTTACCGGGGTAGATCACCAACTTATGTTGAACGTTCCAGATAAGAGATGAAGTCTATAAAAATGCCACCCACTGACCAATCAGCTCTCTTTGAAAATATCATCACCATCTTTAGACTGTAGACTTTAGCATTGTCATCCTACAGACACTGATTAAAAGCCTAAAGCTATTGTACATGTTTTTACAGTAGCCTAAGCCTACTAACTGCTTTACAATGTGTTTTATATTTTTATTTGCTCCCTAGTCCGTTTCACACAGCCTGTCGCAGCAGTAAAATAAATGGGTTTAATTTTTCTTATGTGAGGATGAATATTATGAGCAGTTTGGTAGGGATATAGAAATAAATTTTAAAATGAACGTAGGCAATTTTTTAGGTTAGCTTAAATGCTACTACAGAGACTGTAGTCATGTTCTGCCCCACCTTTTGCGATGTGGGCGCAGGTAATGGTGTTTTCAGTAACCTAAATGTTGAGATTCAGTCTCTCAGCCACTATTTGAGCACCTTTTATGGCATGAATGGATTTTTTGTTTCATTGCTTTATGAAGTAAATTCAGGAAAATGTTTGGAACAGTTTTGTGTGTTCAATGAACTAATCTCATTCTCAAGTGACGAAGTTCTTAAAAGTGAGGTGGAACGACCACTTATTCAGTGCCCGAGTCTTTTAATGTGGAAACGCCGACACACAGCCGAGCTGAAAGAATAAGGCTGATGTTTTCATAAACGACATCAGAACACACCAAATCAACGCATTATTATAGACTATGCCTGTTCATTTAGGCATTTACACTTTCTTTATGTTTCAGCTACAGCAGTGCTACTTAGGCACCGTCCACACTTCATTTTAAAACGGAGACCTTTTGCTACGTTGTCATCTCCCATCCAGACTAAAACAGCGAAAACGAAGACCAAAAGAGAAGTTTGAAAACGTTGCCGACCCTGTTTTTAGTTTTGAAACTCCGGAGAGTTTAGTGAAGATAGGCTCACATTTGACTCTCTGATTGGGTCTCATAAGTCATGTAAAGTTGAAACACAATTCTACTGACAGTGTTTTTTACAGTGTATCTTTATTAAAATATTTTGTACTGTGCAAACACTTATAGCCTACACTTATACCATGCTGTATTTACTTTGTGACGACTCCCAGATTGTTTTCTGCGGGCACTCCTTTTAACTCCTCCTCCGCTTATCCAGATTGTGATTGTTAGGGTTAGTGAAGCCAGATAACGAAAAGATATCCTAGGTATGTTGAACTCGCTTCGTGGTACAGGCCCGAGGTTTCTATGGATGTGTGGCTCAGATCCTTTGTCATCTGAAGCTGCTCATTTGTCCTCTTCACATATGTTTTACAATCTAAATTTTGTCATCTTAACTGTATACACTACAACTTTCTGTTCCCCTTGAGGCAAACTATGGGCTATATAGCCTAAATAAAACTGACTGATGTGAATAGATTTCTAACTCACACTTTTAATTGTTTAATTGTTTGCAATGTGCATTTTGGACCTGATACACACTGAAATATAGTCATGTTATCCCTTTGACATACTGTTGATATGTTAACTTAATGTCTGAAAAAAAAACATATTTTACCTGGTTTAAACATAAATATTTTTAATGCAACATCAAGAACAAGGTGTCACCTACTGTATGTTCACAGTATATGATAATTTCTCAAATGAAGAAGACCAGAGGAAGCCGCACACAACATGTGTTAGTTTGATAACACCAGATTTCTAAACTTGTATCTGTAATCTTAAAATAAACCACAAAGGTGGTGTGTGTGAAGTGCTTCACCCTTCAAGAAGCACATACAAGCATGTGAACTGAGCATATAAACATACTCACATAGAGACAGTGAATATGAGGAAGTGAGGTGTGGTCTGATGGTTTCAGGGTGCGTTCAACTGAAAACACAGCTGTCTATTTGATCCTTAAACCCAAAACAGGATCCAGTCTTATATGTCAACACACACCTGAATACTTTTTATTAAATAATTATTTCATGAGAACATAAACACAGTACTTACAATGAGCTACAACACTTCTTTCATATACTACAGTGTACACATTGCAAATAAAGCAGGAATGCATATTGCACTTATTGCACTGTGCTGTAAAGGTAGGTAGGACATTAAACAATTCTTGGCTTGGTCTGATTAGAACAAATGTTCTATATCACTCTATAAAGTAGTAGAAATTTTACAACAACAAAAATCCTGCAATTGTTTAAAATATATATTTATAAAATGAAGCATTAACAACTGTGGTCAGATGACAATAGCGCATGGATGTCTTTTAAAAAAAAAGCTATTTACTGTTTCTTTACTTGTAAATGTCTATTTTTGATCCTTATGAAAACTTAGGAAGCTGAGAAACATCTTGCCTTTTTATAGTATACATAGAAGTGCTGGGACATCACATGCTTAATTTGTCTTCCTGATTCCAGAAAAATCTTGACAAAAAAAAAAAAAAAGTCTGTAAACAAAAGCACAAATTTACACACACAGCTCAGTGCACAACATGTGCTGACATAGATTCAGCTTCGTCCAAAACCGTTTTGTCGACAATTTCTTTGTGGCTTGTCAGGCTGACAGTGAGAGCAACAAAAATGAGTCAATGTTTTTCACCTTTGACACTGTTCTGTTCAGTCTGTAAAACAGGAAGTGGAAAGAGAAGTCCCTCTTTTAGACCAAACGACCCCTGTCAGTGTCTAGCCTCCAGTGTTATCACACAGTGGTGTTACAGGTTGTTGAGTTTAAAACAACTTTAGGGGGACAGAATCCCACTGTTGTGCAGTACCATAAATGTCCATAGAGGGCGCTGGACAGCTCAGTCCTGAGGAGCTTGATTTATCACCTTCCTCTTACGAACTGAGACCAAGTCGTAGAATGGATCCTTGGTGATACTCGCTCTGTTTGAAGTAAAGAAGATTTCATTATAGAGTGGCTCATGCAGCATTATTTGTGTGTGTAGGCTTGTAATGTTATCTTCTTAAGTTCAATTTTAAACCATTGTTTCTGCTTGTGTGTGGTCTGACCTGATGGCCTCGATCCACGAGTCTCTTTCCTCCGCGCTGGCAGCACAGATGGTGTAGGACTGGTGTTTCCCCTCCACCACTCTGCCGTCTGTCTCAGTTTTACACGCTTTGATCTTCTGCCCTCGGCTGTTGGGGTTATACAGCTCCAGACAGTACTAGACAACACCAGAAACACAGGATAATCAATCTGTAAAGCTATATATTGTCCTAATTTGAGTGCTATATCCACAGAACGTCCCCGATTCATTCATTCATCCATCCATCCATCCATCCATCGTCAACCGCTTATCCTGTGTACAGGGTCGTGGGGGGCTGGAGCCAATCCCAGCTTACATCGGGCCAAAGGCGGGGTACACCCTGGACAGATCGGCAGTCCATCGCAGGTCCCCGATTCAGTACAATTTTATTTAAAATTTAGATGCTAGCATTGAAAGAAAACACAGCTGACAGTATCTCACCGGTTTGCGAGGATATGGTACTTCTCTCACACAAAGATTCTCTAGAGGGATGATGCCTCTGGGCTCTTTATCCTACAGACAGGTGAAAAAAGATGGAGTGAGTCAGACAATGTATGAGGAGGACAAGAGGGAAGAGCTGAGAGCAAAAATGTCATTGGCGTCAGAAAAGAAGGGAACCAACCAAATGAGGATGTGGTTATATTTTAGGCTTGTATTTTGCCTGTGACATCTGACAAACAAAGGCCTTCCATATACCCATGTACCTTCCAAAGAAATTCGTGATTCATGATCACAACCAGAACTTCTTAGTTGGGGATTCATTATTAAAAGAAAGCAATGACTACGGTGTTGAAGTTACTTGCTGTGATAGCCCTATCATATACCATGACCACCTCTCTAAGAAGATTTTCAGCACCTGCCTTTTAGAAATTACCTCAGCAAGTGACAGCAAGAAGTTATTTTAAGTGTTTGAACAAATGATGTCTTTATCTGGCTGGGGATTTTTTTTTTAATGATCAGAGGAATACTAGGGCTTGAAATACTAGCAGTGTTGGAGTCTTACAGTGGTGAACTCAAAGTAGTAGAGGCAGTTGTCAGTCAAGATGAACCATCGTCTCTTCCATGTCTTAACCCGTCCTCCTGAAATGCAGAGAAAGCAAAAAATAAGGACCTCTTCGTATTTATCAGTTCAGTTATTTGCTGTCCCGTCCATGTGAACTCACAAGCGTTAAAACACTGTAACTTCACACCAAGATGACGAAAATAAATACATTTTCTGAGGTTTTCTGTTTGAAGTTAAACTTCTGCATAACCTAACACCGATGCAATGTGGTTTACATGCAAACACATAGGGGTATACTCCACTATTAGCTCATTTTCTGACTGCTTCCTCTGTACTTTCCTGTATTAGCCTACTGTATCAGCTAAGTCAAATGTAATGTAGCACCACAGCACAGAGCATACTTAAACTTCCACTTATTTTGTATAGGAATTATGGTGTTTAAGTCTGTTACCTCCCAAAGTATTCATCTTTGTCATAACAGACTAAAATGGAGAGGTGTTTTACCAAGTTTGAGGAGCCAGCCTTCTCTGTCAGGGTTGAAGAACGTGTGGGTCAGATCATTCCCATCATCCTCTGGGATTTTGAAAGGCTCGTTGCGAATACTCTCATACAGTTTCTGAGTAGAAAAGAGTTGGATAGGTGTATTAAAAAAAAAAAAAGCACTACAAAATTGCAACTATTTAATGTCTTGTACCATCTGCTTGTGAGCTAACGCCTAAATAGCAAAGGAAATTAAAGGCAAAAGTTGATTTGATGCAACAGTCTAAACATGTCCAAACAATGGGGATACAAATTGCTTCCTAAAATATTGCTGTCATCATTTACATATTATTCCATTCGCTCAAAATGAGACACCAAAACACAAATATGTCTGTGTGATTTCAGTAATAGGTGACGCAGAAGGTTTTGCATTGTATGGTCAATTGTTGCAGCTTTAAGTAATTCACATGCAACACTGTCAAATACCACATGTAGAGTCCAGTTGGTGGCGAGTGTCTGTATTAATTAGCTTTTGTCTTATCATCTTGTCTTTGATCTCACATGCATGACTTGGTTATCTAGCTGGCTTTAGTCCTTGTTAGGCTATTTCTCAACATGGTCTAGCTATCGCGGCGTGGTTCTTTTGAAAGCCTAGTAATTTTAATTGTGGTTGATAAACGAGGTGAAAAACCAGGGACTGATGCAGTGGAGGGTGAAGGACAAGTAAGTAATACTGATAACGTTTATCAGCCAGCAGCAGCTAATATTAGTGGGGAACAAGTGGCAGCAAGGAGGTAAAAAAAATCATTCATCTGCTTTTTGAGGTAACATGAAAAGTGGCCGTATGTTTGGTGTCTCTGTTCAACTTTTCTCTCCATGCCCTCATAAATGCATAATCTGTAAGTTATGTAAATGTTGTAGTTGTTGTTATTGTTATAATTAAGGTGTTTTTGAAAATGTTAGATTAAATTGAAAATGTTATTAAATAGGATTCTTATTATCATTAAAACAATTAAAATGATTGGTAACAAGAGATCACGACGACCTTTTCTGTCTGTCAAAATGAGGGACAACGAGAAAGTCTACTGAATCAGTTTTCAGAAAGAGTGGGACATTGATGTGTTCACACATCGGCCCACTGTCTAGGTCACGGTTAATCACCACCACCTTCTGTAGACTACTGTTGATTGTGACTAACTTGTGGATCAAAAGTGGCCCTGAGAACACTTGAACATTATTATGTATAAATGTTTCTGTTCCAGATGATGTGGTGATTGTGTTAACTATTATCTTTTCAAGGTAAGAAAGTACTGCATTTTTTACTGCATGCTTGGAAAATGAAAACTATGAAGTGAAACTGGCATTTTATGGGCTCCTAAATCAAGCAGGAGGATTCACTTGAATACCCCAAATAATTATATTCGCCATTCCTGGTATCACGACAATGTGAACACTAAGAAACGAAATATTGTGGGTTTTTTTCACAATGTCTCGCTTAATATTAGCCCAAGTGACTGCAAACAGCTCCCAAGTCAGTGACGCTGTTGGGTTCATACCCTCCAACTCTGAACAAAACCAGGAGATTCCTGAACTTAGGCTTTCAGGAGCTGATGTTAGTAAGACAGCTAATATGATAAAACATTTATGTTTATGAGACAGATTTAAAAAAGTGTGAACCTATCCTTTAAAAAGTGGACGGTGGACCTTGTATCATGTATTGCATCGAGCCACGGGCTGACTATAATAATCAAATTTCCAGAGGCACAAACTGATGGACAGTTTTCTTCCAGAACTTGGACTTTTGGCATTTGGGTTTTTACTTCCTGAAAAGTTTGGACACTGTGATTAGCCAATGAGTCTCACCGAAAGCAGGTCATTAGGTAGATCCTCTCCGTTGTTGATGCCTCTGTTCATGGAGATGAAACGCTCCAGAGTGGTCTTGTCCTTCACATTTGGGTTGTGGAGGCTGGTGTTGAGCATGATGATAGCAAATGACAGGATGTAGCACGTGTCTGATGTAATAGAGGGAGACACACGCACACAATAAGAGGAAGCAACATAATGTCCATCATGTAGATTGCGAGCACTGTATTTCACATAAATACAGAGTCAGAGAAGAAGAGAAGTATTTGTGGGGGGAGAAAATAAATGAAAGTAAGAATGTCAAACAGAAAGATGATGTGGTCATTTCAACACGTCCACTCTTATGCACACACATTTCCTCAACACAACGCAAACACAGTCCAGGCAGGAAGTGGACAGATGTATATTTAGTGAAGCTCACCAGTTGACTGGAAGACGTGACAGTTGCAGTCACAGTAGCGTGTGGCGAAAGCCTCCATCATTCGATCAATCTTCTGGGCTTCACCAGGCAGACGGAAACTCCACAGGAACTGTCTGTCACATGCACACCACAATAACATAAACCTCTGCGCATAATGTTTATTTAGGTTTGGGACCAGTATGTCAACTGCGTGGCTGTGTGTTGGCAGCAGGTGGTTTTCAAGTGATAAGCATGACACAGATTTTATGCTAAAATTTACTCGCACAACATTTAGTTAATAGTGGTGTTCGGGATTTGTAATGACTCTTCTTCCTTCTTTTTCCAGTCATATCATGCAAATAAGGATTACTTAGTTACTAGTGGTGTACTACTTTCCATTTTGACTTATGTACTTGAACATGTGTTTAATGCTACCTACTTTTACTTCATTAGATTTAGAGAAATCTGTGAGATCACTGTTGTTGTGAATCTGCGCTATATAAATAAAACTGAATTGAATTAAATAGAAAATGACTGTACTTTTTATTTCACCGACAGCTGTAGTTGCTTGTTATTCTACAAATTAAGAATAATTTAATAAATGTACATATAGTAAGTCACTATTTTCTCCTTAAATGGGCATTCCAGCAATTTTACAATTGCTCTTCTACCAAGTGTGATGAGTTGGCCCCTGGCCAACAATTTGCCATACATAAACCTCATGTCAGTTGAGGTTGTGGATAATTACTCTGGCACTGATGTGGCCCATATCTGGCCCACAACATACCAGTTATAGGCGAGAGTACGGTTTGGCACTGATCTTGGCACACCTGGTCCATTTAAGGTACTGTGAGAAAAATGCAAAAGTGTGGACCTTAGTTGGGCCAAACAGTCATTCCTGTCTTGGGAGTCTAAAGCCATGCGAGCAGCTCTGTGAGGCTGTATTTAGGCATGGTGGCATTTAGGCTAACATGCTAAAATAAAGCAGGTTTAATGTTTACCATATTCACTGTCTCTGTTTAGCACGTTAGCATGCTAACTTTGGCAAGAAAGGCAGCAACAGAGGGAGAGTTATTATGACTTTTTGTCACTAATATGCTTCAAGCAAAAAACTTGGATCCTACATTTCCCATTCAACAACCAGCTATCTTTTCATTTGAAACTTTCTTTTCCTGTTTGGTAAATGCTCACATCTTTCAAACTCAGCACCTCCAGTTTGTAATGCAAGATTTGTACATAAATATTTCTAGCCACCAATCCACTGCCAAGATAACCCTGATGACACTATATCATCTTTAGAGTCATTTTCTGCTATGTGACCCTCCAAAGCCACAAACAACATTTTTCCCAAGCTGAGTCGTACTCCACATGACGTGTAAACTGATCTTCATATGTAAAATTGGTGAAGTGACCTTTTTATTGTCTGTATCCAACTCAGCAAGTCAGTGACGTAGGTAGCTGTTACTTTCCACTTATGTGGCTTCTGACATTTTCTACACTTCTACATTTTCTTCTTAGTCTACAAGGAAACTCACTGAAGTTTGTGGCTAGTTTTGTAGCTGATGACAAGTATCAATGTTTATTGGTAACTGTCTATAATGTCGATTATGTAATGTAATATAACAGTGGTAAAATTATTTGTTTGATAGTAGCTGCATTTTAGTGATTATCTAAAGACTGTCATCATTTTTTTGATTTTGTTTGTAATATTATGTGTTTGCTACAGAAAAACAAGCAATAAAATAAGATTATACCAAGTCACGGAAAAAGTTCAGGGACATCACGAAATCAGTGTTAAAGATGGAACAGTGCAGTGTCAAATTGTATTTTGCTCCTGACAATACCATGTCACCATTTCACATACAATAAAAACATAACTGCCATCGTATTTTTGCCATGATTCTGTGAAAATTGTAAAATGTTCAATTGCTGCAATTCTAAATGTATTTATTAACATTTACCATACAGTATGTGTCAATCCATTAATACTACTTTGTTTTGATTAATTATTTTTTGGGCTATTATCAATCTGCCCTTTAATCTTAGTCCTTTTTCCTTAGCTTAGTCTTTTTGATTATTATTATCGTCCTGTCTTTCACGAGTATAAAGGAGGTAAACATATTTTAAGTGATAAGAGCTATACATGCAAGTGTTCCTGTTAATTCTGTTAATGATGGTGATGTTGATCAATTAGAGTGCAGTAGATAAGGAAGGAGAGAGATAAGGGGTGCTGACCTGAGGGCCTGAACCAGGTTGAGGTCGGAGAACTCGTGGAGCTCCACAAAGGCCTTCAGGGTCTGGAGGTGGATCTCCTCCCTGAGGGACAGGTGGGAGAATGAAGACACATGAAACCAGAGGAAGATATTTACATTTATTGTTGGAACCTGCTCAAAAAAATATCTGTCTTCCTCCTCCTCCTGGTATTACTTGTATCCTTTTTTCTCCCCTTCCCCATCTTCCTCCTCTTGTGGCTCCTTTTCCATTCTCCACCTTTTCCCGGTTTCTTTTTTTACCTTTGCGTTTCCTTTGTCCCATCATTAATCTCTTCCCCTTTCTTCTCCTGTATCTAACCAATAATTACATTCTCTTTTTGTTCTCTTTTCTGTCGCAAATCCTCAGTGTTCTCGTCATCCATTTTCTTTTTTGATACTTGCTCTCCACCACTATTATCCTCATCATTTCTATATCTCTTGACACCCTAGTTCTTCATACTCTTTTTTTCCTCTGGTGTCTGTCCCCTCTCCTCTTTCTTACCTTTCTCCAAGAAATTCCCCAATGGCTGTCTTGTTGAGTCCATCCTCCTTGTAGAGGAACTCAGCGATGGACTGAGCACTTCCATCCAGCAATTTATTCTCCACCAGGTAATTGATACCCTGCATGCAATGCACATTTAATTTATGACACATGCACTTTAACACACTGCTTAATGTGCTGTATTTAAATGTGTTAAGTTTCATAATGAGCTCATATCCGGTTGGTAATACCGAACAGGCTCGCAGCTTCTGTAATCCCAATTCCTTAAAACCAATTTCGCTTCCTCTTTCTCCTCCAACATAGCATTTGGCAGAGGAAAAGGATGGTTAAAAATATGTAAAAAATGCAACATTGCTGCCTATGCCAATATAGGCAAAAATAACACATCTACATCAAAAAAGAAAGGACAGAAATTTTTTAAATACTGAAATTGTGTATGTTTGAGTGTGGATTATAGTTTTCTGAAAAACTCCTGAAAAACATCTCACCACATCTCTTTTCCATGTCACACTTTCATATTGGTTAGTAACATTATAGATCTAGGAATCTGAATTTATTCAGTCTTACTTTAGGTCCTTACGTTTAACCTCTAAAGTTTTTCTAAAGTTCTGGTAACCTAAAACAGCTGCAGGTCATAATAGACAGATTCCAGTAAGCAAAAGTGGTAATGCTTTTACTTTATTTGTTGTTTGCAAACCTTTGTGTCCACAACAGTTACTAGCTTGACGTTGCACTGAAACCACAGAAACTGTGCTGTGGACCTGCATCAGTGTCAGTTCTCAGTGTGGTTAAGTAAGAGGAAGTCCACACAGCAACAAGCTAGAGCTGCTTGTTGAAGGTGATCCATTTATAAAGCTAAGAGAAACACAGTAAGATGTACAAGTTTTTGTTCGAACCTTTCAAGAAAAGTAAGAATTAATTTCTTACCAAGCATGATGTTGATCAGTATATTTTAGTTAAAAAAGACTATCAACAGTGACCCATACATGCATCCACTTCTGAGCTCACCTTTTTGGGGTCCATGTTGAATTTTTTCTTCCCATTTGAGAACTGTTTGCTCTTCTCTATTGTCTTGCTGCAAGAAAAGCAACATTGAAGAAAGAGATCAATTGTATTTATGAATAATTGTAATTAGATAATGCATATACATACATATATATACATTTTGAAACATGTTTTGTACTTGAAATGATATCAGACAGATATTCAGAAGCACTCATCTTCAACTTCAATATTAACCTTCTGTATATTGTGCTTTGCATCACACCATCATTAGTAACCATGATAAATATGTATTTGGTTACTAATTTACTTATTCGCTAATCTACACACTATATCTTGTTTGTATAATATGTCACAGCTCTGCCTATGACTTGAGTCTTCTATGTGTATTTTCCTGTCCCCTTCGCCCTTGTGGATGTGTTTGTGTGTTGTGGCCGTGGCTTACCTACCTGGCTCATCTCCTCACCTGACTCTAATAAACTCATCTACATGCTGCTTAAATAGCCCACTCCAGCCTTAGTGGTACGCTAACTCTCAGCCAAACCTATCTCCGGTGATCTACTAGTGTGTTTTTTGCGACCTGTTCCTTGTGTTTCAGCGACTCTTTGTTCTCCACTCACTACCTCTGCTAAACTCCAGTCATACTGCATCATCTCCAGTTTGCATGTTTCCTGCCTTCATCAGCCCTGCCAGCCCATTCACCCACAGCTCGTCTGTTTATAAAAGACTTTTAACACACATCTTAAACTACTCCTACTGTGTTCTGTGACTGTTTTTGTGTCTGCCTAAACAGAATGGAACACTTCATTTCACTTTAAGTAAAAGTATTTAATGAACAAACGATATGTGGGTGAATGGGCTGGCAGTATGACGGGAGTTCTGCTGAGGTGGTGAGTGGAGAACAAAAAGATGCTGGCAATGGAGTCCTGAGACACAGGAAAACACATATTATCAAAAAACACAAGGAAAAGCTCACTGGAGACAAGTTTGGCCAAGAGTCACTGTACCACAGAGGGGATGGAACAATCTGGTGACAAGCGGCCAGGTGAGGAGATGTGGCAGGTAGGTAAGCCATGTCCACAACACACAAATACACAAGGGAGGAGCAGACAAAGAAATACACAGAAGACTGAAGTGATAGCGAGAGCTGTGACATAATCTGCACAAAAGTATAAAATAAACACCAATCTATGGAGGGTTGTGTGGGACTGACCAGACATCCATCCATCCGTCGTCCCCTTATCCTGCGTACAGGGTCGCGGGGACTGACCAGACAATGAGGTATAAATCTTAAATGCACTCTAAACCAATTGGCTGTTATGTATCAAGAGAAAGGCAGTTTGGGGGCAGGCTGAAAGATGGGATTGCTAACAAATTTGTGATTACTTTATTGGATGGGCTTTTTTTCCCGTTACATTCGCTATCTAGCATATGAAAACCATTGAAGACACATTGTTTTGGTGGAAGTTCAAGAAAAAAAGTTTTGTGATTCTTTAAATCCAGTACAAGTAAACATGTTGAGAGCTAAGACTTTGTGGAACAGAAGATAAACCAGAGGTGGGTGAAACTGAAAAATTGAGTAGGTGCAATTGGTGGGAGTTCTAAACAGAAGTTCTATAAAAAGAATGTCTTCTTTGCAGGGGCACTGAGGGGGTTTTACCAGATTAAAACTTACTTTTCCTCTGTAAACTCAAAGCTGAGTATTTCCGCCATGACGTTGTCTATCTCCATCTTTAACTTCTGGACAAAGCAAAATGAAAGAAATATCAGTTTCCTTAACATTAAGAGCAGCTAACACATTTTACCTGACATGTGTCTGTTTGTGAAAAAGTGTGTGTGTGTGTGTGTGTGTGTGTGTGTGTGTGTGTGTGTGTGCGTCTGTGTGTATGTACCTGGATATCATCCAGAAGGTCTTTCTTATGCGTCTTAATGCTCTCAATCTCCATCTTCTCATCTGCTGTAAAATCTGAGGAAACTGTACAAAAATGTGAAATACATTATCAGCAATTCATGTTCCGTTCTTCACATTCAATAATCATCCCACACCACTTTCATCAATAGGTAGTGCAGTTAAAATACTTACTAATACTTATTTTTATTACCTTATATTCTATTGTAGGCTTCCTTTGAGAGATTAGCAGATTTGTGGAAACACACTTCTTATTTTGAAAATTTGACTGAAGTTTGAATGACCTTGTTTCTTTAGTTTTGAAAGGATTAACACATTGCAATCCAAAGGAGCTGTACTAAGTATCTTATTTTGTCTTTCACTTCAGATATATCTGTTCTAATGTGTAATGATGTATGTCTACACGCAGAATCAATCCATGTGGTGTATATTTAAAGATAACCACAGAATAAAGGAGAGAGGTTTCTCTTGAAGATAGGCAATATAGGTGATGTGGTTTTCTTATGAAAGACATCTGTCACCACAAAATATAACCATGAATAAACCTTGAAAAACACCATGCATGAGCATACAAATACATGGATACCTATTCATTTTGTCACGCAGTAATGCTCTACTTTCTGGTCTGCCTAAGATAAATTTAGCTCAATGACAAGTACTTATAAACTCAGCTGCACATGTGTTGGCAAGGACCGGAAAGAGAGCACACATTACATAGATGTTAAAGTCTCTGCACTGGCTACCTATCTTTTTATTGGTTTACTCCTTGATTTATTGTGTGAAGCGCTTTGTGTTACATCTTGATTTATGAAAGTGCTATACAAACAAAGTTTTAATTGATTGATCCCTCACCACTCCTGAATTAGGGTTGCTCAATGAGATACAGAAATGATGCACAGTATGACTCATGAAAAACTTACGCAGTCAAGAAAATGTTTTCATCTAAGCTTTGTGATTGCATATGAAACCCTACTTGAAGGTTGCTAGGTAACATATTATGTGGCCATTAACATTCAAATGTGCTTGATGTTATGTTACAAATTACATTTTCAGGTTCTATATTCATCCATCCAATGTGGTCATAGCATCACGAGTTATTATTCCCTCATTTTGACAATAGCGTTCAGCAATTTCACACATGCAGCCCACTACGTGGGTGGGCTCAATTATCCAGGTAAGATTTGTGATGAAAAGCTGTCATAAAAAGGCTATCCGAATATACCATTACCATTAAAGCCAGCATTTTGTTAAAGGAGCCCAAAATTAAATGCTAACAACAATAGCATGATATAATGGTGAGCAGGAATTATTGTTTCCCATACTCACCCTCTTTGTTTAGTATGTTAACGTGCCAACATTACCTAATTAGTAATGTACAGCCGTATTGAAACCATAAATATTAAAAACGAAAGTTTGAACTGATGATGTCACCAAATTAAAAGGTAAGGCATCACGAAAGATTTTACAATTCTTCCTGAGCGGGACATAATGAATGTTTTGGCAAACCATCCAATAGTTTCACTCAAAACCACATTTATTAGATTTTCTTACTTTGTTCTCTAAATTCTGGTGTTTTGCCTCTTCAAAATGTATTATTTTCTCACAGAATTCCAACTTCTCCCTTAAATTTTTTAAATTAATATCAGAACAATTGTTTTTCTTCATATTTTTCCAGTTATCTATATAAACATGCTGGTCTGATGAGCTTCATGTGCTACTAGACAACTTGGGTAAAATTTTGATCAATTTGCAAGGTAGCAAATGACATTCTTACAACTTTCTCCTCACTATTTTCAATAGCTGGATAATCAGCTGTAGCTATTGCATTTAGGAAAGGAGCTTTAGGCAAAGTTAGAGGGCTGATTTGAACATCAGCAGGCAGAGCGCGTTCCCACAAGACAAAAACAGAAGCAGTATAAATGTCTTTCTCATGAGCATATATAGCAATACTGGCAGCAGATGAACACAGCATAGTTTTTTTAGTACCAGTAAAACTAGAGCTGAGAGTATGAGATCTGAAGTTGCTCCATCAGGGTAGAGAAGAGTAGCATTTGTTTCACGCAGTTAGACACCAATATGAACGTAAAATAGGGCAGTTGTTATCCTCAGAGAAAAAAACAGTGTAGAATATTAAGTTAACAAAAGGGTAACTCTTAATGCTTTCTGTAGATATCTGTCAGACGTTTGGTGTTAATGATCTAAACACAGGATATCCACTTTCCCCACCCTTCCTTTACACATCTTGTGCAACACAGCTGACATGCATCTATTGCTACATTTACATAAATCAGATTTTGGTTTTAATCTGAAAAATAACTGTGGACATCCAGTAAATAGCTTGATAACATGCCTTTAAGGGTGGATTATTTAAATGTCTAACTAAAGAGAGCAACTTCTGTTTTTATATTATTATCAGTGGTGTGCGGCCCAGTGAGTTATGACTATCTCTTCCCTATTTCAGCTGAAACCCACAAGTGTCTTGTGCATCGTTTCACCACAGGGTTCAGATGGTGATAGATGGTATACCAAGAACTGGCAGCAATGCCCCATCCATTTAAGAACCACCCATTCTCACAGTTTACAAATAGGTTACACCAGAAAGAGTGAAATGAATTTCAGTTTTTTTTATATCACAGCTGAACTAAACTAGAAATCTGACAGATAAAACTTTTATTGTTTCTTGTGTGAACCCCAGCATGTTGATAACCACAAAGTCGGGCTCTAGTAAAATAACTATCACATACATTAATGTTAAAAGGATAGTTAGGATCATATGTATGAAATTAAGACAATTGTTTGCAGGTGAATAACAGCTGATGTCATGAAACAGTGCCCTCAATATAAAATATTAAACAACACTTTTTTTAGACCTCACATTATATAATATATATTACAATTTTTTTTTTCTTTGTGGATATCGCTAATAAAATATAGAATATGAGAATCAGCAATAAAAAGAGAGAAAGAGAGAAAGCAAAACAGGCCTTACCCATTTGGCAATCAGTCATTTATATCCAAGGAAAAAGTGGAAACCGGCAACACCAAAACAGTTACACACAGTCAAGTCAAGATATCAGGATATGCAGACTACCTCAGCACATAGTGCAGTACCACTTGAATGAAGTAGATGCTCTTTTTTAACCCCACCTCTTCCCCATCCATCACAATATCAAGCTGACATCAGCATAAAGACAGAAAGAATGAGATGTAGATCCTCCTTCAAAATAAAACCCTTACTGATTGGTTTAGTCCAAGTGAAGCAATCAAGACTGTCCTTTTTAAAATGTTTTCAAGGGGTTTAAGAACTCTAAAACATTGACAGAACTTGTATTATGTTGAGCTGTGACTGACTTGACTGCATGATTAGATCTTCAGATGTAGATCCAATAGCAAAGAGGAGGAAGCAGCCCACCATAACAAAACAATTATAAAACACCTTTGTAATTTGCTTTTGTGGCTTGAGAATTACGTTTTGTAGACTTGATATTTCTTGCAACACTGGTAGTGTATCTGTCAGTGTTGAGTGGTTGAAATTGTGAGCGTAGGTGAGTGTTTTGAAATTTCGTTGGACAATACAACTTGGTTGCAAAACACATTTCAGGCCAGGAAGTGGGTTTTGAAAGCCAGGAATCGCGTCAGATGTTGAGGTAAGCATTGAACCCTTGACACTTATCAGCAGTGCTTTTGATATCAACAGTGCTGTTGATAAGTTGCTGTTGATCCTTTTTTGTTCTCTTAACTGCAATGAGACACTTTTATTTTGGAGATGAAATCCTCTTCCATATTGAGCCTGGTGTACTAACTCGGGCTGACTTGACCCTCATTTATAGCAGAAGTGACGAGTGGTTAATATGGTGGTTTTGCACGCAGCATCCTGAACAGCATCTAACTGTAAACTTCTGGTGGTTATTGAAACTGATGTAGAACATCTGCTAAATGACTAGAGTATAAAGACAACCTCACTAAAAGTGAATATTAGCACTATATATATATTACACTACAGTTAGGACACTATATGGATGTTACTATAGGAACATTTTCATAAAACAGAAGAATTTAGGAAGACACCAGTAGATAAAGTGGTAAGCCATCTTAACCACATGATCACAGTAACTGCTGGAATAAGGAAGAGTTTCTCAAAATTGTTCTGACAAATGCATTGGCTGTTTGAAACATTTTCTTACTTAAGATTGAAGTAAGATGCAAATGTACATAGGTCTAATTGTCTAACAAGCAGCTCCTCTGCTTTACTTGCTCATAGTTTGACATGAAAATGAATGACAAAAACGTTACTGAAGTGCCATCTAGTGGCAACAGGGGAGTATCACTGGTATTGTCAGCTGTATGAGCATGTGACGATTTGCTTTTGTATAGTGGCTTATTTTCCACTTATTTCCTTTTAATATTAGCCTACTTTAGTTATTTATAACTAATAGTATATTTAACAATAATAATATGCATTATACTTATTACTAAAAACTCAAAACTTAAACTAAATTTAAACTAAAGTATTTCTCTGTGTGTGTATGGTAACAGTAGAAGTGTGTGTGTGTGTGTTTTGCACAAGTTTTAAATAAAGCCTACTGTTATTGTTACTGCATCTTCCCCATTTCAAAACACTTCATGGCCATTTCACAGCTCTAAACTATTGCAACAGTGTCTTTTGCCATATAATTCACCACATTTATAGTGTATTTTATACTCTATGGACAGCTTGCAGAAGTTGTGTTGTTTAGAAGAAGAAAAAAAACCAACAAAACCGGAAGGAGGGATTGGTGCAAACATAAAGGAAGAGAGACAGAGAAAGAAAAAGAAAAAGAGGTAGCAAAGGGAGGGGAGTGAGGGAGGTGTGTTACAATTTCCTGTAGTTGCATGCTGATCTACGCCTCTGAGCCTTCCTCTCTGAGTCTGTTTCTGTTAGAGTGAAGAGCACAGACGAAGCTGAGCGGAACAGGATGCAGGCTATCAAATGTGTGGTCGTGGGAGATGGGTACGCCATTATTTTACTTTACCTAAATTGTTATAACTTAAGCTGGCTTCAGATATTGAATCAAGAGGTGTTAACCCAGCTGATGCATGATGGGGACGTTTGGTCCTAGGCTCAGAATTTAGGGTTGTTTGATAGAAATTGTCAAAGATATTCACAAGGCCGGAACAGCCTTAAGTCACAGTTTTCTCAACTTCCGCAGTGATGTGGCTGTGTGATATGGTGTTTACTCGAAACACTTAGCTACTGTGCTCTTAAACGTGTTGAAGAACACAGCCTGTCCTGTGTTATGCGTATATCTTTAGGTGTGTGTTTGAGAGTGCTGGATGCAGGCCACAACTTGCAGGGAAATGCTGTAATGTAGCAAGCTCAGACCACAGACTCTAGATGAAAATCCAAGAAATGCCAAAAAGAGTGGTTCATAAGACAAGAAAAAATCAACAAATTACTGTAAAAGAAAAGAAACAGAAATAAAGACATAAAAGCTATGTTTTGTTAAAGTTGGGCACTTGCACTTCTTAGTATTAGAAAACCTGGAGTTTGTTCGGTCTAAAGGCTTAAATGTACTCTCTCAGAACAAGTTTGGACAATGTGTTGTCTACCATATTAGAAAATTTAACTTCTGCACACTTCTTATTCTTGAAGGTGGGGCAAAAGGGCTGGCATGATGGGGGAAATTTTTAAGCGGAAGCACTGTAGTTGTTACTGCGAGAGATCAGTTACATGTTAAACAATTTACAGGTACAATTTCCTGGTGTGTGTTGAGCTTCCTGGTGTGTGTTGAATGTGACACTGAGATTTAAAATTGTACAGTGGAGAAGTAAGGAGACTGAAGTCTATAATACTTGGAAAGTGAGGCATTTTGTATTATTTTGGTTTACTTTATGCACTAAATTTAAAATAAAAGTGCTTATGATGGTAAAGAGCTGACTTTGAGCTTTGATTTTGAGGTGAACACACTTTGTTTGGAGCAAAGGAAGGAGTAGCGTGACATTGTCAAAGTCCACAAAGGACATTAGAAGGTCGGGGTGGAAGAATGGGACTGGGAATGGGAAAAGAACAAAATGTGTGATATTAACACAAGAGACAAATGTTTATTTCCAACAAAGTACCAACACTCAGCATTGGTTTTTGTTAATCATGATCACAAACCAAGTGCTTATCACTGTAACGAAGTCGAAGGAGCCTTAATCTATGAAAAGTCGTCATTTTAACCTGAAACGTGGTCTTAACTACACGCTTTAACCATAGCGGTGTCGAAAATTGCTTCTCTGTGTCATTCTTCAAAGGGATTCATTCTCATGACATAAACCACCTGAATGCTCTTCAAACTTTGTATTTTGAAAATACATCCTAATTGCATCTGTCATGGCTGCAGTCCAGAACTTGACCCAGATTATAGAAAACACACCGCCAGCACAAAGGCAATTGTTGCTGTTCAGCAGAGAACTTGAGCAGTGGGGGAAGTAATGTGAGGAATGCGAAGAAAAGAATTTGTCGACAGCTTGGAGCTCTGCCCAGTTTTACACCTGTTGACACCTATCACTTCAGAAAGTATTGATGTACATTTTTGAAACATTCCCAACAGCACTTTTGAGGGAGTACGTGTATATGAGCCTTATGAGAGCCAAAAAGCTGTTGAAGCTGGTATGAGTATATGAGTAATTTCTGCCACGATTTCTTTTTCTTTTGATCGATTCTGGTAGGCGCTAACGTGGCATCATGCTGTATGCAGCTTGAGTTTGGGACTCCACCAGATGAATCCTGTGCAGGTGGACCCTGTGGAGACAAGTTCGGTCTTAAAAGAAACTCAGCAGCTACATTGTTTGTGTGATGTGTGAACACGTGTTTGTTTAACTATGTTTGTGACTAAACCAATATGTCAAAAATGGTATTTAAAGCTTCCAGTAACACAGAGAAATGAGGAAGTTGGTCTCAGGTTGTAGGGAAGTTTGTCCATTCTTTTGTCAGTTACTGTGTACATATAAGCTAACTGCTGCTGATAAATGGCCTTATTATAGCATTGGCCTGTTGGATGGGTGGATGGACCGTTTCAGCAATTTAGTTACCAATACAGTTTACCTCTTAAAGGGGCCATGTCGAGTTTTCTTGTAGGCAAAGACGTGTTCACAGTGTTACTAACCAAAATGCATTGTGTATACCCCTGAGATCAAGCAAAAGTGTTGAGTACATTTCCTTCCTCATAAAGCGGTTGTTTAATCTAGCATTGTTTACATCTACGGGTCTCGGCTTGCAGTCTTTTTCCCTGCCTTTTCTGGCACACTGCAGCATCACTTGTGTTACCACCACCTGTTGATGTGGAATATATGAGACCGTTGGTCAGACTGTGCATAGTGACACCCATGTGTGTGTTCCGAAAAAAACAAAACAACAAAAAAACAAATACAAGAACCCACTCAGACAAACAGCTCCATGTAACTAGAGATCTAAAACTCCACAGGGAACCTTTAACAAGCAGCGTCCTATTAGTCATTCAGATATTACAAACAAAACCACACCCTACAGTATTTCTAATTCTAGTGGACATTTCAAAAATACCAAAACGTATAACACATAAAACACAACTAATTAAAACTGAGCCAAATTGCTTGACATTATAGCTTTACTCTGCTGTGCTCTGTGTCTTCTCATATCCTCAGTCTTAGAAACAAACGTGTGATTAGCTGATTGACACCTTTGAGCTTTGAAGTAGTGGCAGCCATTACTGTGGCTTGTGCCTTTTGGACTGAAGCAAGCGGAGGGAGAAAAGTGGTGTCTGACACTAAGATGGAGGAAATGAGACAAAGTATGTTGTTGTGATGGTTACAAGATTCCAACCAACAGCCTAATATGAAGAACGAGAGAGACGAGGAGAAAAAGATAGAAAGAAGGGGGAAATACAAGTGAGCTAGAGAATATGACAAAGAGAATAAGGTTGAAGATAATAAAAGACAGAGAGAGTGAGAATCAATCTCCTTTAAAGACTGTGCCCAGCTAAAACCAGGTGATGTAGGATGGTGTCAGCAGGAGACGGAAAAAATGATGGAAAACCAGATTAAGAACACAGCCAGAGCCAGATCAGAGGCTGAAGTCTTTTTTTTTTTTTTTGATAGCTCAGTTTGTCTGGTTCCTGTTTTCAGCACTAACTGATGCTTCTGA